GGATAATATATAAATATATAAGGTGATGAGCTTCGGGCGAAGCTCATCACCTTAGTTGTGATTTGAGTACTCTCGCATGGCAACATGCCTACACTTGGTCCCACAAGTGTAGCGCCCAGGCAATGGTTTATTCCAGAGCTTGGCCCAGTGTCTCCACTGCACTGACGAGACCCACATAGGTCGAAACAGTGTGCACCCTGTCTGCAGTATATATATATAACGTTATTTATTAAAGTTTTTAGACTTTTTATTGAGTATACGTCTTTCTTCGCTCGAAGTTGTCCGTCCTCGTGTGCCACACTACTTCTGTATGTATATATGTATGTATACTTACCTTTAAAACCTCTAATCTTCAGCTGTTCTTTGGAATTAAGACGCCTCTGAACGTAACTTTTTGTCTTTACTTCTTTGATGTACACTTCTAACACTAGATGAAACACTTGTACTTAATCTAAGGGGCTTGTAACCACTCTATAGATGACGTGTCTCTTTTATAATTATCAGGTTTTTCACTGATGTATGTTTTACCTTCTTGTGGCCGCTAGCAGAGTGAACCGCCTGACACAGCCATCAGCGACACAGACACAGATGAAGATGACATCAAATCATCCTCTGATTGTTTCGAAGAGTCGGCCTCAGATCCCGTTGAAGTTACTTTACCGCGTCAGGACTGGGGAGTTTGTTTGAGAGCAGATTATTGTGCAAGTAGGCCTGCCAGCTCATTGGGAAGCAGTCCGTGTAGTGAGACTGGTGACGAGGATGGTGGAGTGATAGTTCAGTGGAAGTTGTTGTCTGACCTAGCGGTTTATACGAGCGGATTTAGAGTGGTATGGTATTGTAGCACACTTGATGATCGGATGGAAGTGTCCTTATCTGGGGATGCAAATGAATATGGAATCTGGGCTGTATCACCAAGGTATCACTCAGTTAATGGCAGCATTTTGATTTTCTCCCTCTTTGCTAATGGGGACCATAAGCAGCCACGATGGCAACGGCAACGAGGACGTGGAAAAACAAGAGATCTAATGGGCAGAACAATAGCTCAGCACGTGCGTTTGAAACTTTCTACATTTCTTAGCCGTCCTGTGCAAAACAACAACGTGAAATCGCCAAAATTTGCGTCGTCTTCGAACCGAAACTACGACGCCAAATTAATTTAATTTCCATTTGGAACACAACGCTACTTCTATACGTCATGCTGAAGTTGAGCTGTGGCGCCGTATGAGACAGTAAGCTCATGCAGCCATTTTTGAAATTCTGACTAAGAGTAGAAATTCATTTTTTAATCGAAGTCTTCCTTGGCGTTGCCTTCCTGACTGCTTAAGGTCCCTATTGTATCCTCAGAGGCGCGTGAGGTTGTAGTGCACTGTGGACAAAGAAAGGATGAATTATCTATTTTGTCAATTTTAACTTATTTCATTTGTCTTATTCCGTTATGTCGCGTGATATTTTTGTTTTTCATTTGTCCGTCTTTTTACCAGTGCTGTGTACACTATTTACCTGGAGGTACTTGACGAAACAAAAGAAGCTAAAGCTGTGTTTGGTCCGGTTCATTGTCAGGTAACTTCCATTCTCACAGAGTACCCTGACTCTCCCTCACAACAGGACGCCCCAGTGTTTCAATTTTTTTTTTTAATTCATTTCTTGTCCCAATATTTCACCAAATGAATATATTAAACAGCCGTCAAGCACCATAACTGACTTATCATTCCTTTACCATTTCCTTAAAGGCTGGTTTCTCCTCCTTTAAAATTCTCTTCCCCAAGGTGACCCTTTTTTTTTCCCTATCGAAAAGTTTTCCTAAGATTATCTCTCTCCCCTTTTCTCCCCACGTGAATGTCTTGCTCGCAAACTTTTATTTTTGTCATGTAGACACCAGGCCCTCCCGCTTCTCCGTGGATCTGGTGCCGAACCTTGTCTCTGTCTCAGATTACAATTGAGTGGAATGAACCTGTTACATACGGGAATGTTAGCATCAGGGGTTATCAGGTGAGTTACCCTAAAGTTCGCAGAGAAATTACGCCTCAAAAACAGCGATATAGTTTTGTAATTGTTGGCAAACGGGTCAAAAGTGATGACCTGAAAGTTGCGAACTCAAAAGTAATTTTCTTTCGACTCAAAAGTGACAAATAATAGGTTCAACTGATGTTTTTCGACACCGGAGGCCAAACTCTAACAAATAAAACGCTGAAGCTGATATAGTTCACCTGTCACCTTGAATATGTGTTTTCAAATACCTCTTGTTGAGATAAAAATAAATTCCTAAAGTTTGTGTCGGTTATATTAGAGTTAAAACGACATATGTACGAAAACAACACACTTCATTCGATGTCACAAAAAACCTAAAAACAGTGAGAAGATGAAGAACACGTTGCTGATCCATTTTGAACTGAAAGCGATTACGCTGCCATTCAACGTCGTCCTCCCATGAAAAGTTTCTGATAGAATAATTGTTTACATTTCTATACCTACAGGTTTATCTTAACGATCGTCGCTTGGAGAAATTAGTCGACCGAACACAAAGACGAGTCACCTTTCACTGCCAATCATCCTGGTAAGAATGTCGTGACATGTCACACAACTGTCTCTTAACTGTGTCACGCTTAGGTAGACGTGAAGCGCAGAGTGATACTGAAAGTCACAATGTTTTGATTAATATTATGGAAAAAGGCGTAAATAGAGATTTATTTACACATTTGAGCCTCTAGCGATGACGTTCATTTGACGAGCTTAAAACTCAGAAAGTTCTGAATGAATAAAATAATGAATGTAAAAATTAAGAATTTAAATTGTTTACAATTCCCTGTAGATCAACTAGATTACTTTTGCTGGTGTCGACATAAAACAAGAGTTTTAAATAACTTCATGTTGCCTTTCCGTATGAAAACTGTCATGTTCTCACCTCGGGGAGTTGGAATTGAATAGAAATATAAAATTGCTTTCCTTGGTTGCTTTGACAACAAATCGAATTGTTTACTATCTTGCTCTGTGTGAGTTTTAACTCTTGGGACCTCCATCTTCCTGTTCGTGTGACTTCACTTTACGAGTCGCCGAACTGCTATCTTTTGATTGACTCTTGTTATCAGTTTATTGGTCTCGTCACTCGTCATTTCATCCTAGAGAAGGTGAAATCTGATTTGAATGTGGCCCTGAAATGAAACATCTCTACCTATCTGCTCATATAATTTAGTTTTAAGTTTATACGCTTTTATTGTTTTTTCCCCTGGTACATTATACATGTTCTTTGATGATATAGTAGGAAACTATTCAAGAATTTGTACGTGAAATTTTTAGGAAGATTCAGTCAAGCATTCAGGCATATATTATCGTAACACATCATCGACCAAACACCTCGGTAAATAAGCTGTAAAGAAACACCTGTTTGTTTCATTTTCTTTCATCTTGTCGTGTAGTTCCCCGTTGATAAATTTGCATGTTTTTTTCTTTTTTCTTTTTTTTTCTGTAATCCCTAAAACTAAACATTATAAAAACAGCTCAATATTTGCAGTGTCATGGAAATCTCGAGGCATTACTATTCGTTTTCGTGTTTGGTTGTAGGTCACAAAATTCTTCAGGACTCGTTTTTAATATGTGGTACTTTTGGTGTTTAGTTTGAGCAGTAACCTCTAGGACATAAATTAAAATAGTTTAGGTATTTATCGCGAGTATTCCTAAAGTTTGTGATAGAGAATATGTGCTGTCTCAAAACGATCAAATGCTTTTTTTTTCTGTTCTACTATAATCAAATGTTTACAACTGGTTAGAGAAAATCTAACGGTTGATCTGTGACGTGTGATGATAGCGGCTGTAATGTGTTTTTCCCTCTCCAGTGTGTACCGTGTATCGCTCGTGGCTCTTGGATCAGATCCTCAGTATGGTGATTCCCCCCCATCTAATGTCCTGAAACTCTTTACTCCTGCGGCTCAAGTCAACTTAATGGGACGCAGACCTTCGGTAGGAGTCAAGCGACCATCTCCTGACTTCACCGTAAATGTTCCATCGACTTCAAATACAAGCTTTTCATTCGAATGGACTCACCCCCCGGAAATATGTAGGTTTTCTATCTGACTACTTCAATCTGTCTGTGCAGTTCTTTAGACAGAAACAAGTGTATCCCTGATTATTGAAAGATGTTGCATGTTGCAAGTATTTGTTTGCTGAAGTGTGACGTTCTGAGTGTTTTATTATTATTATTATTATTATTATTATTATTATTATTATTATTATTATTATTATTATTTACTTTGAGTTGTTACGTGAGCTTTGTATTCAGATGTTGTGATTTGTTGGGGCTTTGGTGATGCAATACACGTTTGAAAACGTTTCATACGAATATTTCCTCTCTTCCTGGGTCGGGATTTAAACACGATAAACTTCCTCTACTTGTGAAGCCATGCCACTTTGATTCTTCTATTTATAAAGTTTATACGATTACTAAGGAGCAGGCAACAATCGTTTTTCTCTTTGATAGGGTTTTATTTCCTCTAGAGGCAAAAATATCCTGCTCATTATAGAGAAAAAACTGCTGTCAGTTGTTAATGGTGTATAATCTTTCTTTTCTAGTAGATACCGCTGATCATTATGTCATCAAATGGAGCTCTGTTGTCCAACCGCAGGTAAGAATACACCAGTTTATATTTTGTTTCTCCATCAAATGGAGCTCTGTTGTCCAACTGCAGGTTAGAATACGCCAGTTGATATTTCGTTTCGTCGAAGGCCATTGTTTTCTGCTTATTACTGTTGGTTTAGTGATCACTCGGTCTTTTTTTCATTTTAGGTTCAAGAACTAACATTACCATTGATGCGGACCTGTCACATGATTAAAGACTGTTCACCAGGAACCAATCACTTTCTTGTTGTCGCAGCCGTGAATGCGGCTGGGGGCCTGGTTTCTAGGTCAGAGCAGTATTTAGTACAAACTTCGGCACCTGTTCAGCAACCTGTCCTGAAATTGAGGTAACTCTTCTTGTGAGTGATTACTTAAATTCAGTGGGGAGCTCCCCAAAGACTCGGGAATGTTTGCTCAGTAATCTCTTGTACTTCGCTTTGACAGATTGTGTTGTCAGACGAGTATAACAATTGAATGGAGCAAGCCAACCACTTTTGGAGATGCTGAGATTGATCACTACGAGCTTATGGTGTGTTCTCATGAGTTCTTTAAACGATAAAAATATTAGTTTTTTTTTAGTGTTTTTTTAGTGTTTTTATTTTGTTTCAGTTCGAATGGTTGGTATCACTTCACATCATAAGCGCAGGTTTCTTACATTCCTTTGAAGCGGGAAAGCTACCAGGGTAAATATAAATTCGAGGTTGAATTTTGTTGAACCTTTTTATTTTCATTTTTTTTAGGTTAACAGGAAATCAGAAGCACAGCTGGATGTTGAGTTCAGTGAATACAAGTTTAACACCTTTGAGTCTTGCCACGAGTACACGTTTGTTTTAAAAGTATGTTAGTTTAAAAATCCTTGGAAAATCCTAACTGATTAACTTTCCTTTAGATTCATTTCTTGTGTCTTTTGGGGAGAAATTATTAAATATGAGATCGAGGATCAAATCCTTTTTCCCTCCGCAGGCCGTCAGCACTAAACCAACCTGTGACAGCCGCTGGTCGGAGCCTTTGGTAGTCACGTGCCCTGGTTCAGAGAAGCCCCAGATCGCTAGGATCCAGTCCCACCAGGTCAACTGTATAAGTTTGGGATGGAAGCCACCTCTTCTAAAGGGTGGAGCAGAGGTGGCTAGTTACAAGGTGATAAAGCTAGAGGTTTCTTTCATGAGTATATTCCAGCTTTGATTATTTTATTGCAATTTGCAGAATTTATATCTGTCTGCCTCCCGACGATGGACTATCATTATCAGCTCTGTTTCGTTTTTATATTTAACATGCATGCGTTATTTCTCCCTTTTTTAAACGCCCGTCCCATCCTGTTTGGGTATTTGGTGCTAGGTGTATTACTTAGAAGATAATGGAGAATTGGTGACAAGTGGAAGCTTCACAACAAATGAAAAGACAATAAAACACGGTCCACTACCCAGCCAAACTGAAAAGGACGAACTGTTTCCTGTGTCTCCCGACCGTTACTACTGGGTCATGCTACAATTAGAGCTCTTACCAGACGACTGCTTGGCAGTTTGCTCTGAACCAATCAGAACCCGTGCTGCTGTGTCGCCTGACTCACCTCTGATTAGTTTAGAAGTCGAGTGTTTGGACGAGAGGAGGAGACTGGAAGAGAGAATATGTGAACTGACTTACAAGAGAGACAGGTAGAGTTTTATGAATAGACTTTCATCAGTTAAGTTTGACAACATTGTACTAACAAATATTTCTCCTCCTTGTTTTGATTAGGCTTCAGAAGATTGTTAGTTCATTGAAAAACAGCATTGTTGTGAAAGGATCTAGGGAGAAAGAGAACAAGGTGACATATTCCGTTTATTTTAGATTTCTTTACACATTTTACTATCGAAAATTGGAGTAAAGTTTATTTTTCTTTCAATTGTGAAAGCCTCAGCATGGGCAGTCATGTATCGTGTACATTGAAATACACAATTGAATGATTATTTTACATTCCGGTACAGATTGTTGAGGTCACCAACTCAAGTTTGGAAGTTCATTCAGAACTCTCTGATGCACTTGAAGATATCAAAGAATACACAGGTTAAAAATCTACCCGTTTCACATTCATTGCTATGAACAACTAGCTAATGTGGTTTGTGACTAAGACGAAGTCTTTGAACATGGTTGTTCAACACAAAGTGTGAGCGAAGAAATATGGCGATCGGGAACCACCAAAGTTGTGATTAATATTCCTTGGCAAATATACGCGAATTGCTCGCTGATCGTCATATGCTCTGCTCATATCTAGGCTCTATTTCAACTCTTATAAGATGGTCTAGACCACATGACGACGGGGACGCAGTTGTAAGCGGTTACCAAGTTTTTGTTGATGGGGCTCGTTACGGCAAGATTCTATCTCAGAGGAGCTTAGAAACTCGTTTGAAGGTAACATCTTTTTAACTAAGCAATTTAACCTCAAGCAAAATCATTCCTTGCGGCTAATTATTATGGCTTAGTTCTATACGCAAAGTTTGTGATCTTGTGAGGAAACATTAAATAATTATTGGATGAGACTTTTGTGATATCCGGAATAATCAAGGTCGTTGTAAGTGTTATCAGCCTCAGCCTTTGGCTTCGGCTGATAACACTAACCGAGACACTGATTATTCCGGATATCACAAAAACCTCATGCCTCCCATAATTGTTTTATTATACATTGTTGTAAAGAAAATGACACCAAACGCATTATCGCAGCGAACACAGAGTAAAACGGATACAATGTATATATGAAGTTCATATATTTTGAACTGCGGTATTAGATACGTATGATGCACGATCCTCGCAGTAGAGAGCGCTTTTTATGCAATAGCGAAAATCAGAACTGAAAAAAATCAGGCCTGTACGGGACTCGAACCACTGCCCTCTGCGATAGTAGTGCAGCGCTCTACCAATTGAGCTAACAAGCCAACTGGGAGCAGGCCGTTAAGTTGATTCGTAATAAACCCGTGATGATAAATCAGATACAATGTCTATATGAAGTTCATATATTTTGAACTGCGGTATTAGATACGTGCGATGCATGATTACAGAGTAAAACGATCCATCCTTTTTTTTGCGCTTCCACATAAAAATATTTCAACACTTTGGCTAATTCCTTTTGTCGTTTGGCTCCTGGATATTTTTCTTTTTAAGGTATTCGTAGAACAGTTCCTTTGCCACTTTTGTCGATCTTTTAGTATTTTCCGAATCTTTATCTTTAAGTAATTTCTCAATTTCTCGCTGGGTCGATGAAGCGAATCGAGAAGCCATTCTTACTTCTCTGTCCGTAAACTTGACATTGCTCCACCGGAAATCATGCATTGCGCGCGCAACCAACAGATTATTCACTAATCTGTTGGTACAGATTAGTGAATAGTCTGTAGGTTGCGCTGTTTCCCAGAATTAACAGTGGGTGTTTAGCCAATGAGAAGACAGATGGCGACTACAATGTATAATAATAGTGTTTATTCGACTAATTATTTTGTTTTTCTATCAGCTGTCTACTGATTGTCACGTGATAGCGGTACAGACACTCACTGATCATCCAGTTGGACCCAGTTCTCTTTCCAATCCAGTTGAAGTGTCTGGCTGTGAATTTCTTCCTTTTGTGTTATTCTGTTATTTTGATGTACACAAAAGAGGTGAAAGGTGTGTGGTATTTTTACTTAGCTGAAGGCTTCATAACCACGCCGTACCTTAAAATACAATTAGAAGAGAGTTTTGGTTACAAAAAGAACTGATAGCCATGTGACTGACAATTGATACAAAAATCATTGCGAAACAGGCTCATGGGAATTGCAGCGAGTAGAGTAAAAACAAATTTCTTTCTACTGAATTCGGGTGTGTGTGTGTGAACAAATATTGGTTTTTGGGAGGGGGGTGGGGTGGGGGAAGCTTTAAACCGGAATAACTTTGGTTTGCTCATGATTGAGCCTATCACTTGGGGCTTACTAATCTTCTCGTGGGTGTGGCAAACTAACGTTTCTCTAAGGGTTAGAGTTTGTATATCTAGCCTTTTTACAAAGTAAATGCTCAATTGCTGCTATTTTTGTTTCAGTTGCCCTCGTCATGGTTGCTGTAGCTGGGAAGATTCTCATTCTTTCGAGTTTAAACACAGGAGTCAGTCATCAGGTGAAGTGTTTAGTCCACAAGGAATCCTGGCCCGTAGAATTCCCTGTCCCGTATTGAGTGTAATGGACGTTTTCAGCGCTCTTTGGCGACCAGTAGCTCCTGTTGGTCTCAACAAGATGGTTGCTTTGCTGTTTTGGACAAAGTGGTAAAGTTCATCGCCTTTGCATGTCGGTTGTTGATCTTCATCGTTCTATCTGTCAGCATATTGGTTTGTCTATAGTCTCTTTCTGTCGCTCCCTTTTGTCAGTGTGTCTGTCTGTTTTGTTGACTAGGTTGTTTTGAAACGGTAGTTTGAGCGAAGCTCCTAGCTTCTTAAAGAAGAAAATCCTTTAACTCATCCGAAAAAAAAAAGAAAAAAAAAAAACTCCGTTTATTTCAGGTGTTTTTCGTCACAAAAAGTCATGGAGTACTTCGTTCAGTTTGCAGAGGAATTCGCGGATGAGGTTGGTGAACACAGAGCGAGTTATTGAGCTAAGAACCTAACCCACCCCACCCTTCAGTTTTTTTTAACGTTTACAAATCACAGGGGGAACTGAGACATAATAAGGAATATAAATATACAGTGGTTAGATTACGTATGGCAATACTAGCGTTGATCTTAAACTCAAATTCATGAGCTGCTCCTTTTTTTCGAGGTTCAATTGAATCAAATCATTTGCAACGAAAGACTGGAACTCTTGAAGAAAAGTTAAAGAAAGACTTGGATGAGGTTCAAAAGTGGCTGAAATCCAATAAACTCACATTAAATGTCAAAAAGACAAAATATATGATAATTGGAAGCCACTACCGACTAAGGCATTTAAATGGTGACTTAAACGTTACTGTAAAAAGTCAACAATTGACTCGGGTGATTAAGTAACAATTATTCGACGAGCGCGCGTTGGATACGAGATGATAGATAGCCAACAAGGCGCGTAACGCCGAGTTGGCTATAATCATCTCATATCCAACAAGCGCGAGTGGAATAATTGTTTTATTAAAAACGCCCCCAAGAAATTATTATTTTGTGAGAAGAAACCGGATTTTTTAGCTCCCTTTTGATTTTAAGCTGACGCGTACGCTTACCATATTTGTAGATTATGGTATATTGGCTCATATACCATAATGGCTAAGCCAATAAAAAGTCTTGAATTGCATTATCCGATGATCCAGTTTTTAATAATTATAGATATCTGGGAATAGAGGTTGACGAGGCATTGGGGTGGCAATCCCATGTAGATGCCATCTCTAAAAAGGTATCTGCAGGTATAGGGGATTTAAAACGTATTCGTTCCCTGGTGCCTCGCCAAACCCTACTGCAAATGTATGATGCTTTAGTCGCTCCTTATTTTGATTATTGCTCCGAAGTCTAGGGATGTATAGGAAAAGGCCTGTGTGACAGACTCCAGAGATTGCAAAATAGGGCTGGGAGAATTATAACATTTAGTGATTAGAATACAAGATCTGCGGATATTCTCCCAGACTTGAGATGGGATACGCTTGAGAAAAGACGCTCTAAACAGCTCGCAATAAGTGTTTTTAAATCTCTAAATAACTTTTACCCTGAGAGTTTAAAGAACATGTTTAAAGCAACCTCCGGTATTCATTCTTACAATGTGCGAGGTGCGTCGAACAACATTTTTGTACTAGGGTCCCGTACTGGATCTGCTAAGCGGGCTTTTAGCTACAGGGGAGCAGTCATGTGGAATGGCCTAGAAAATGTGCTTAAAGAAGAAAAAATATATATATTCTTTCAAGTCTGCCCTGTCTTTCTTGAACCATGGATGATTGCCCTGAGGGAGTTGAGAGTGAATTTACTTTAGTTAATTAATGTACCTTTAAGGTTGATTGATTCTTGTGCAATTAATTGTAGGATAGATTTTCTTAATATGTAGAAATTTTAGCAGTAATGTAGTTTCTTTGAAAATTTCTGTTATGTAAACGGCCCACTGGAAGAACACTTTTAATTTTTAATGAAGTGATACCGTCAATAAAGCTGGATTGAATTGAATTGAATTGAGGAAAGTTGTGTGGGAATGTGAACTAGCAACCAAAAGTGTGACTGACTTTTAAGATGACTCTCACAACCTGGTGTATATTGTTATTTTTAAAGATTGTTGTCTTTTCTTTCGTTATTTTTTAGTTCTCATTTGTCACATGCTGTGTGCGGAGTGAGGAACCACTTACATCCCATCGCCAGGCCCTCGCTGACATTCTGACCGAACGAGGCTGGCGCAAAAGTACCGACTGCGTCACACATACTTGTGGCTGCCATTCCCAGAGGCAGCGGACTCGTCATGCGCGTCGAGGCGTGATGAGTAACCCGGATATTTGTCAGTTGTTTGGTCTGGTTGGAACACCCACTCTTATTCTGTTGAACAGCTCAAGTGAGGAAATAAGGACACTTTTTTTTCGTATATTTTAGTAGTATATGCCACACACTAATGAATTGTGTTTTTCGCGCGCGTTGATTGGCTATCTCATGGCCGATTATCCAATTACTATAATTGACTTCTGAGCGGCCATATAAGAACAAAAAGGCTTCCGTCTCGTTTCAATTTCTGTGGAAGAAATTTTATCAGTAAACGAATAGGCCATGGTAAAACACAAGAATGCTAACAAATGCAATTTAGCGGAATATTATGGTATGTCAATGCTAGCAGAATGTTATGGTATGTTAAATTATCTTTTCAAAACATTGGCGGGCAATTTACAATCGTTAACTGAAATTTTGTGTTTACTATACAGAAGTTCACGCCTGGGAAAAATATTGCAACAAACAAATTCAATTATCTCTTGCACCTTCGACTGAATTTTTTAGACGCTACATCGAAGGTTACCTGAATAGATACATAGCATAAAAAAACTGACAGGATTCCGTTCGATTTTTGTTGCAAGCTAGACCTGAAGAAGTGACAATAGCGATTTATTTCCAATTTTTTTTTTCAGGTTACATTTCATGGCACGGCCGCTGTTCTTGTCAGGACGCGTCAAGTTTTCGCTTATTTCTTTTGCACATCTTTTCTCAAGTAAGTCAGACTCTCTGCCCAGTCTCCAGTTGCAGGCACTGTGAACTTGACAAGGAAGATGAACAAGGAACCAGTAGCCGTGATGACGAGGAAAACCCCGAAAACATTTCAAGTAAACAACGCAGAGAATCATCTGAATTGAAGTTTTTACATCAAAGACTTCACCAAACTAAATCAGACGATGCTTTCACTGGGAAACCTTCAACGTCTCAAGGGTATAAAAAGGAACGTACTAGACAAAAACCAACCACTGCTGTTGGTCGCTCTGCAAGGTCATCTGGTTATAACAGGTTAAGCGGGTTTGTTGAAACGTACAAAAGTTACCCTCGTTCTTTTAGTGCAGGTAGATTCATTCATTCCAATCAGAATGACCCAGGGTCATTTACACTGAAATCTCGTTTTGGCACCCCGCAAATTAGTAACCAATCCTCTCCAGGAAGATTCGCACTCCCGGTTCTTTCCCGGCAACGAACTAAAAGAACTCATCCACACGAACGAGGCTTAACGCCAAAAGTAAAAACGAAGATATCTGTCGATGACTTTGATCTCGGGTAGAAATTCTCTCTGGAGAATAAACAAAATTGAGCTCATCACAAGGATAAACATACGTTAAAAACGTTCTTAGGATATTTTACACCAAAGAATAATCAATTAAACTAAAGGATTTTTTGACCAAGTCTTGGGTTAATATGTTTTAAAATGGAAAAAGTGTAGTCAGGAGATGTCATGAGTTTTATAGAAATTGGTTGCCTGACTTGTTATTTCTTGAAACAGACGTTTCGGCTAATGCTTAAGCCTTCATCATTGATATGAAAAATGAAGATCGTTATCATACGCTATTTAAAGTTAAAAATAAATAAATAACTAAGTAAATAAACGTCTTCTTGCGATATACACTAGTGACGATGGATGTATATCGCAAGAAGACGTTTACTGGTATTCTTACTAATTATTTCAGCTTCGCCCTTTTGATTTTCAAATTAGGTTTGGTCAGAACATTGATCGACAGAGTATATAAGATCAATAATTCCTGTGTTGGTCTTCATCTGGATGTCAAGAAACTTATTTTCTTGCTACGGAAAAATTGTTTTCCATCTTGGGTCATAGACAAGATCATTTACAGGTATCTCGCTAAGAAAAATAATCCTTCTCCTACTGGGCAGAACGCCTCTTCTAACTTCGGTAAACCTTCTTCGCGCTATTATAAACTTCCCTATGTTGGTCGATTTTCTAACATCGCTCAGACTAAGTTAAGACAACTACTCAAACGTTATTGTAGAGCTGATTTAGATCTTAAGTTAGTCTTCAGTACGTTTAAACTCAGAAATATGTTCAGTGTGAAAGATTCAGTACCGCTAGATCTACGTTCGCGTGTCGTTTATAAATTTTCGTGTGCTGGCTGTAATGTCTGTTATATTGGTGAGACCACTCGCCACATTTGTACACGAGTTCGTGAGAACCTCTTGTCGGACAAAACTTCGCATATTTACAAGCACCTGCAATCATCAAGGGCCTGTCTTGACTCTTGTGATACTGAATGTTTCACGATCTTAGATTTTGCCGCTTCAAAATACCAAATTAAGATCAAAGAGGCTTTGCATATCAAAGTGGGAAAAACCCATTCTTAATCAGCAGTTGAAGCATCTAGAATTATCTCTTTCCTTTTAATGACGTTGTTCCTTGGTCTCTTATTTTATTATTATTTTTTTTTTTTTGATCTAGTCAAGCGCGCGCTATTTACATTTTTCGCGTATTTAATATTCAAATTGAAACGTAAGCCCTGACACGTAATTTGTAACGTACCTTAATATAAATTCAAATGTACAACCGTTAAAAGCTCATTTGCAACTGAAGATGACATGAGAATGTCGAAACATGTCTTGTAAATTTAAACTCAAAGTTGTCGTTTCTTTGTTGAGAGTTATTGTCACTCGGCTGCCTTTACGTCCTTTAGGTAACTAATTAGTGACTGTAAATAGAACAAGATTAGTATCAAGCATGTTAAACAGACTTGTCTGTTGAGATGTTTCAGTTTATTTAGCCAATAGAAGGCTCCAAACAACTACATGTTCTTAGTTTAGTCCTAATTTGAGTTCCAATTTTTTTATAAAATCACTACCATTTTATTTGTAGAGGTTAACTATATTTTCGTCCTAGTGACGTTAAAAGGCACACATTTTATAAATAGCTGTATCAACCTATTTATTTGTTTTGTTTACACTAAATGAATGGTTTTGTAGCAAGGTACTATCTTCTTCAGACTTTGCTTGTTTACGTAAGGTCGAAGAACGCAGTTCAGGGAGATTGATGCAAGTGCGCATCGAGTATGCGCACAACGGCCTTGAATTCGGCTGAAAGGAACTAGATAGTGGCAGGGTATTTTAACGCAGAAACGCGCGCATACGTGCGTAAGAAAGGTGTTTAGACAGTGGGGTGTATTGATTGCAGGAGCACATCTTGAGTGAGAATACTCTCTAAGTTTATGAAACCATGCAAAGGGAACGGAGTAGGAGCATAACACTGTAAGTACAAACAAACAAACATGCCTGTGCACTTCATTAAATGCGTGCGGTTTTACCAGCGAATTTAGCAAGAACGGGTTGTGGCAGTGCACCGATATAAGTTCTTAACTAAAGAAAACGAGACATACATGGGACTGCACGGTCGATCCCTCTCGAAGTTTTGTGACGCAGAAGAATTAAAGTGTCTTGGAACTCATCCAACGCTGCATGTGGAACTACAAGGACGGTGTAAATTTCTGGAGCGCAGTCATGAAGAGGAAAATGTTTCCATGGAGGGCCTGGTTCCAAGTGAAATGAAATCATGAAAATCGAGTTGCCACAAAGAAAATGTGAATTTAACCAATACTCCAAAATCAGGTTATCAGGTTTCGAAGTAAGTACTGGAACTGAATAAGTTATTTTTTTTGGTAAATAATTCGTTATTACTCAGAAACCTGATTTTGGAGTATCCATTTGAGTCACGACCAAAATAAAATATTCATGTGCACACTAGGGTGGTTTTGCTAAAAGAACAGGGTAATGCATTGTTCTTGATCTTTTTAATGGTGGAGGTTTTGAAGTAAAAAATAGGTTTATTTACAAGTTATATGCAGTCTTGCATTCCTTTCCATGTAAAATATCTAGCGTAAAAACAACTAAGATTTAAACCTTGTCTTCTCTACTGCATTAAGTTTATGCCTGTACACTGGACTAGTTTTACATAGTTCTAGGTTTATTTGACAAATGTGAAATTTCATACCCATTGTGGTCTGGCAAGTCATTCAGTAACCTGCAAGCCAACCAAAAAACTTCCTCTGCTTTCCACTATGGGTTAGAGTACTGTTGAAAGATGTACATGATTATGCTACAACAATGAAATCTGCCAGTTAGAGATGATATCATAATCATCAAAACAGGGAAGGAATGTGTTTTCCATGACTGACATTAGTACATGGAGCCTGTCACTTCCCACTCCACCTGCCTTTGGACTGGAAGTGTTATTGGTGTCCCTGTGTTATTCCAAGGATTTACTTGATAAGATCAGGCCTGTATCCCACATTTTCATCCCAGCCTTTTCTGCATGTTTTGAGAATCCAATCATGTTCATCATCATCTGGTGAAAAAGATAGTTTCATAGAAGATGTTTTGAGTAAAATGCAAAAATTCAATGAACTCTGGGAAAGGTAATGGATTAATTAGAAACTGACTTTAGTTTGCTTTTGTTACAAAAAATGTACAAAATGCTGATGAATGAACTCATTTTCTTATTACATTTACTTACTAACCTGCATTTCGAAGAAACTCATGATCATAGTCAACAACCACTCTTGATACAGGATTGTAAAAACCATCACCACAGTCATAGCAGCCTTCTGGAATCTCTCGAGGTGGAATACAATTTGTGAGCTGAGATCGACCTACAAGGCAATACATAAAAATGTTCACATAAAAGGGACTTTCCTTTCCACACCTTACATTTACATAGAACAATAGTAGCAAGGATGTACCTGCTGGCTTGAGTCCATGGCAGATCTCGGTATAAAATCTCCTGTCGTATCCATCACAATAGTCCCAATCCTGTTCATCATATTCTAAGCCATCAGCAAATGTATATTTGCCCTAGAAAATGTGCACCACAAACTATGCTTTATCAATTTCTTGAGTTTTTGCAAAGCCTCATATGTTTTAGTTTCACCCACACTACTCTCCTCAAGTGTGGACTGAGGTGAAAGGTGGGAGGGGAGGGTTGGGGTTAGAAACTGTTTAACCACAATCCAAAGTCACTAAAAATAGGTCAGACTTTTTAGACAAAACTATCAGTGTTTATTTTTTTGCTGTTTTTGTTAGTCTTATTGTTAGCATTAGTATAATCATTATTAATATACCCATCTTTGAGAAATATATGTCATAAGCCACCAGTCATTATCAACTAATTTATGCTTACAAGTAATTTTTTTTGGTTTTTGTTCAAAGTTTTTTTCCAAGTTGGTTTCATTGTTACACATACCTCCACTGCAATTCCTTTCTCCCACTTTCCAACATACTTGCTTCCATTTGAGAAAAATAAAGTACCTTCTCCATGAAACCTTGTATCATGGGAAATTTCAAAACAGAAAATGTTATTTCAAGTTATGACACTATGCGGTATGGAAAACAACAGTTAAAGGTTCAACTAAAGTACATTAATCACTATGGCAGCTGATTGATTACTGTCCAAATGGAATGAGAGTTAATCTCTGAAAATTCAACAATAAAAAATCATTGTGTTTAATAAAATCCAAAATCAAAACTGATAATTCAAACAGGTTGTATTTACGTACAGTACGGAACAAATGATGGAAAAAATATAAAATAAATAAGCTGGAATCTCGAGACTTCTGGCAAGAGAAAATGTTTAGAGTGAAAACAGAATTGTCAAATTAGTGGAAACAACAAATTAACCGGCTCCCCCACTGACTACATATTAAATTAAGATTGAAAGCAAGCAATCAAGGAAATGACAAAACAGCAGAAGTTTTGTGCGTCAAAATTTGTCACGCTGTATTGAGTATATGCGTCATTCACGAACAGCGTGACGTCAACCGAACCAAATGTCAATAATTTCAGGTTCTTAATTATTTGATCGAAATTACACAAAAGTAAGATCATTGAAATTTTCACCAGCTGACTATAGTATTTGTGACTCAAAACGCATAAAACATTTAATACCTCGCTCGACACAATGTGACCATATATACTCCATGAATTAATGTGATAAAAACAGCTTACAATAGAAGAGCAACAGCCTAAAATTAAAAATACTTTCCACTAGGAAAAAATATGAACTTACATTCCATCCTTCATCTCGCCGACGTATTTTTTTTTGAGTGAAGGAGGCAAAGTATATTCCGCTTGACCCTCCATTCTGGAATTATGAACACAAATTTAACGTGATTGACGATAGCTAGTTTGAACACGATACAGATATCTTTACCTTCCATTTTTTATATCCCCCTCGTGATTGCTGCCAGTGTATTCCATTTTATGGTCTCCAGAACGTAGAAAAAGTAGATAGACTTAGAGTTGTTTTCCAAAATGGCAGACCGTGGTAAGTTTGTTGCTTTGGCAACGAGAGGAGTCTACAGCTTTGTGACCAGCGGTGAAAAGCATGTAACAGGTTATGTAATATTTTTCCATACAATTAAAATATATTGGCTCTCGTTATCTGGAACGCGTATTTCTATCGCGGAAGAATTTAGAATCGTTTCGCTTTCTAGTCGGACATAATTTCGCTTCTCCAGCCTCCACTGAGATACCCTGTCTAAAATGGAGGACATGTCAATGGTTCAGACACTGATGATTTGGAAAGATGGCGTGACTTTCATGGAAGAAGGAAACTTTCAAGATGCGCTTATGAACTTTATGGCTTTAGAGGGGAGAACAGACTCTTCTCAGCATCTTATCACTTCAGGAAGAAATCTGTTCAACATTGGACAAACTTACGTAGCTCTTGGGAGAATGGATATGGCGGCAAAGGTACTTTTGGGTTCATAGATATCACGACTTCTCCAGTCTAGGTGTTAAATACCGATTATAGTTTTGTGGAGTTTTCATTTACTACAAGTAATTAACCGATGATCGTGATTTCGTTAATGAGCCGGTATAATTCTCCCTGTTCCTGTCACGCAAATTATAACCATGATGTTGCTGCCCTTTGAAGCGAAATAGTAGTTTTGGGGAGTTAAAAAGTTTGATGCTAATTTTCCAAAACGTCCGGCATATTTGAAATATTATGTGCAAATATTGTTTATTTATATACATTTATTTATTTTTATTGTCGATTATATTGTAGTAAATTAAGTTTTGCTGAGTAAGCGGGTCAAAAAAGTTGCACCTGGGGGCTATGTAATAGCTTGAAGTGAGGTCGTGGCTGAATTCATGGATATCATTCTAATTGGTAATGATATTGAGAAAAAAATTACCGTGAGTATGATGCAGTAGGAGAATCTCCAGTAGAGATAAATCGATTCCATGTGACATGATTTTGATGTTTGTATTAGTCGACCACAGATTATTCCATTCTGTTTAATATTGCTTCTTAGCACTCACACCTTGAATTGGTCCCCTAGGGACCTCCTTGGACTGCAAGGTGCTTGAATCATCAGGATTGAATGTGTTGTTATTACACTCATCTACACATAAAAGAAAGTTCGGTATTTGCTCTGAATTATTGCATGATAGGCATTATTTTAGAAGAATTGTTAGTGAAAGCAATCACAAATTGCTAAGGGTAGACTGGAATCATTATGGGAAATTCAAATCGCATGTGACCAAATTTAATTATGTTACCAGATGAAATTCTTTCAATGTCTAAACAAAAGAATTCTGATTATAAAAAGGTTATAAATGCTTAAATTTATTCACTTCCACGGATAAATGCACACTGGCATTAGACAGTGCCTATAAACCACAAGGTAAAAGATGTATTAACAATAGTACCCTGAATTAATTCTCTCAAGTTGGGATTCATGAATTTCATGATCTGTGCAAAATAGGACAACTGTCCAACAGTAAATTATTTTTACCATATTGATGCAATTACTCCAATTGACTCATCACTCCATTTGACAGCTATAACAAAAAAGATTAATTTGTAAGTACTTGTCCCGGATAAGTGTTGCCTATATTTGGTGCTTATTTTTGGACTAAGGTTTGCCTTAAAGAACCTCTGTCAGAAACCTATTGCCCAGCAACATAATGTTTCTTTTTCTGTTTGAATGTGTAATGATATCACAAGGATGATAGCAAATGTTTCAAGCACAAATTTAGGAAAATTTCATGTGTTACATGATTTTTTAAAAGAGAAATTAAAACCAGGCCTCAAAGTTTCACAGTCATCCAATTTTGTTAATCACTGATATGATTAAAGACCAAACTGGACTTCACTTAGTCCTTAATTACTGTTATTAATGAACCCCTAGGCACCCTCTTGCATTAATGGCCATGATATTAAAGTTTTTGATGCCATAATACAAACCTTTGTAAGGTAAAAGCCCTTTATCTCAGAATCTACCAAATGAGACAGTTTATAAATTCAGAACATGACTCAGATTTACAATCCATTAACATTTCCTGGAAATATTACTTTTGAAGGGTAGTAAGATGCGCCTCTTACTGCCCCCCCTTCAATATCCGCGTCGCCCACAGACCCATCACCACACTACGTCAGTTACTAATCAACGTTAAAGACAAAGACGAACCGAAGAACAGACAGGGAACGATTTATAAGAGCAATTGTTCCGACTGCCAAGCGTCCTACATCGGTGAGACTGGCAGAAACCTCAGAACAAGACTGACTGAACACAGACGGGCGATGAGGAAAGGTGATGTCAGCAATCACATTGCTGAACACCATCGACTTACCAACCACAACATTGACTGGGACTCTGCGCAATGCCTAACCTACAGCACTGACTATTTTCAACGACTGACTCTGGAAAGCTGGTTTACTAACTTAGAACAGACTCCCCTAAACAGATGTCAACAACTACCCGC